TATATATATATTGTTTTTAGCATACAAAAATATATGCTACCGTAGAAAATTTATAAGGTACAGATAAGCAAAAAAGAAGGGAATAAAAATTACTATAAAGTCCCCATAACAAGACAACCACTAAAAATATTTGATCGTAGCCTGATCACTCACACACATACATGCACGCATGATATAGCCTATGTAGGTCTGAGCACACTGTTTCCTCACCTGCTCTGTCATATAATAGCATACTATAACATATCCATGTCGATAAATATGCTTCAATGTCATCTTTTTTAATGGCTATATAATATTCTCTTCTATGGATGCCCCACCATATTTTCAATTAAGCCCATGGTAAAGAATTGCAAACAACTTAAAAATATCTAGAAATGTTATAAATATCGTGGCGAACAGCCTGTTATGTGAATCATGTGTATCCTTAATTATATCAGTTCTGTTCTATTTTAATAGATAATTGCCATGGTTCATAAACATGCATAAGCTGGGGTGGTGTGATTTGCTGTTAATATTTTTGGCAGAATATAGATTCCAGTGCGTACAGGCAGGCCTGGGCAGCTTTATCTCAATCAGCTCTCTTGGTGTTTTGATTTGTCTTTGTTTTTTGTCCCCCAACCCTGCTTCTGTCTCTTGAATGTTGTTAATGAAATGGAACACCCACCTGTCAGTTTTTCTCTATCTTCAGGAATGTGGAGAGCGGGTGAAGGGAGAGGGGTATGGGTCACGTGGTTTATAACTTGCCAGCCACCGCATCAGATTGGCAATTTCCTTTTCAGGGACCATCCCCTTTGGAAGTGTCTAGAGTACCTCCAAGACTCTAAGCCGGTAGTGGGAAGGGATGAGAGGTAGCAAGCCAGTGGAGGGAGGTATATTTGGGATCAAAGACTCCAGTACAGTCTGGATGTATCTACCTTGACAGAATGCAACCTTTGTTAGCAAAGGACTGGGAAGCTTACTAAAAGCATTTTCTGTAAGAAGGATTAGAGCTGGGTGCTTGTTTCTTATTTATATTCATACTTGCAGTTTTGATTTTGCTTTTCTCCACTTCTCATGGCTCTTTGGGACATGCTTAGTGCTGGCTACATGCTCCAACATGCACCATTATGAACCTTGGAGTTCATTTGCAGATTGCATCACTTCCTATGATTCTATCCCTTCTTTGCACACTTCTTGTCTATTTCTCACTTTATTCTGTCTCTTTGCAGCCATCATTTATGGCCACCAGCTTTCTAGGGACGTTCT